ACTAAACAATTGAACACTTAAGGACCCTTTTTGGAGTGGCCATGGTAGAGAATATGGTGAGCTCACATGAAAGGACACCTACATTATAATTATGTTCACATTTATCAATTTTATCTGCACCAATCCAAAACCCCCAAGATCGGCTATTTAAGGTTATTTGAGGACTAAATTGATATTAATATTTCTTATTTATTTATAACTTACACATGGCTTGACTTTGTAGCTTCGAGTTTTCACATACTTGCTGATCACTTTAGTTACCTAGAGAAAATATAAAATAAATAACATCATCATAATTTAGTAAATAACTGCCAGGCAGGTTGTAGAAATATTCAATATCCTTTATTTTACCTCGAGAGATACTTCTCCAACTTTATCCTGCTTGAAAAGTTTGGAAAAGGTTTCACAACAGAGCTTAGAAATCTGAAATAAAAAAAACCACTGAATTTGAATAAAGTCATGGAATCTAGAAATCTTGGAAACATACTGGAATAATATCACAATTTTTTTTGCACATAAAGGAATAGTTGAAAAGTAACAGGGGGGTAAGAGTGTGGAGTTGTACTGGGTTTAAAATTATTTGATACTCCAAGCTGGACATTAGCGAAAAAGGTGACTGGCCCCTCGAAAGTGGTGTAACAATAATTTAAATGTACCTATGTACCTCATCTCCCTTGCTACTGGCTAGTCATTTTTAGGGTGACCCCACCCTTGTTACAGCATAAAACAAAATATATTGACGATTCTTAAAAGTCACGTGCATGCGGGCTTAGCCTCGCTCCTAAAATAGAAAACAAAAGTGGAAATTACACTTACAAAAACAAATATCACCTGGATTCGAGGTTAAGCCCGCATCACGTGACTTTTAAGAATCGTCAATAGCCATTCCTCTTTTTTGAATCCCCCCACCCAACCCCACCCCTCAATAATTCAAGACCAACACTATAAAAAGATTACATATATGTAGGCTTTGCACCATCACGTGATGGCAGCCATGACTGGATGTACAACAATAAAGTCTTTTTCCCCTGGGAAACTGAATTCTTTCTCATGCAAATCAGATTAGACCAGATTCCATAGTTCCTGCCTCCTGTCATGGCTGCCATCACATCATGGTGCAAAGACTGTACAACAAAACATGTAGTACCTGACTATCCATAGAGGAATCATTCATCCATGGTACTAATACYGTGATAAGGTTATTACGATAGTTAAAGTGTGGCAAGGTAACGAGTAAATCACACATGCACTGGACAGATAACTGCACCAAACCCTGGAATAAAATAATAGTATCCAACGTGTTAATATTCAGGATAGCCAATAGAAATCATAACTGTAAAGAGATTTGTGATTTCAATAAAATGTTGGCAAAACTCATAGGAGCAGATGTAGCACTAGTTAGTGCATGGCCTTCCAAGCTAGAGGTCCACGGTTCAATCCCTAGGATCCTCTGCATCTGTTTCGAATTCTCTCTCGGTCCTGTGAAGCTTTAGCTTTAAATGCCCATAAAAAAGAGCACTGATAGTCTGAGAAGATAAAGTGTGCACCTTCAAGCACTCCACACATAAGCCCATGGCTCAGGAGAATTGGGCAACCACTCTCAGTGTTACTGAAGTAAAATAACTGAATTTACCTTTTTTAAATTGTAAATACATGCACACCAAGCATAGAAACGATTTATTGTGAGAGGTCTGAATATGCAAATGTATCACTCACTCACAYRCTCACTCACTAAGATATTATTACTTTAGCCAAAAGTTGTCTGAGTGTTGATCAACACATTGTCAGCTAGTCATAAAGTACAGTCAGGGCTTAAAAAATGCAGGCCAGACATCGGACAATGTCCTGCCAGAACAGGGACTTGTCTGKTMAAATCTTTGCCTTTCTGGTCATTTTGACCAGTAACTTTTAGCCAGAAAGAGATCRGTCGTTATTTTGAGCCCTGACATTACACGGTAGAATAAGTACAATGACCATACCTCTGAGTGATTTTTGCTAAAATCTCCATTTGATCTTCGTTTCTTCRAGGATCCTACAGAAGATCCTACAGGAAACATAATATGACTTGTAATGCACTCAACAAAATTATTACTTCATTCTGATTGGACAAGAAGAGTACAATTAAACCCCAAATTGCTCAATTTTGGTTGAGTATTATAAACAAAAAATTGCAGGATCTTCTCGTACAATTGAGCATTGAGAAATTTAATAATAATATCATATTACAGGATATAAACTACCTTGTGCCATCTTTTCTAGTATCTGTAGGTACTTCTGATAAGTGATTAACAACCCTTCCTCAAAGTCCCGTATCTTCCTGATATCTTTGGAAACCTACAGAAGCCATATTATAATATGAAGTATAACTTTAAAACCCTGAAGAGCATCCTATATCTTAATTTTCCCTTTTCAACAATATACATGTCATTTGAAGATCTAGGAAGGGTTAGCGGAACATACCTCCCCTACCATGAATCCAGTGACTATTTTTTCTTAAATGTTTGTACAGTTGTATTCAAGAGGATAATAATAATAATAATATGTTCTTACATAGCGCATTATAGACTTTCAATGCACTTTACAAATATTACGATGAAATGTTAAGTGAAAAAATAGATTAAAGTTACAAATTGAACAAAAATGTTTTTAGTTTTCTCTTGAATATTTCCAAAGACTGTGATGTTTTTATATCTGGTGGTAAATGGTTCCATAGTCTGGGCACTGCTACGGCAAAGCTACGCGCACCATATGACTTAGTACGATATGGAGGTTGTTTTAAAATTACTCCTTGTGTAATGTGTGTAATTGTGTAATCAACCTCTAGATGTATTTCATTAATCATAGACCTTTTTGCCTTGGGTGTAACATTTTCCCATTTCAGACAACTTGTCATTCTTATCATTTCTTTGTTTAACAGTCGCACATCAGAAAACACATGAATACAGATACAACTCGAACAAAGGATCTTATTCTCAAGAGAATAACACGTGGTCTGAAATGGCAAAACATTATGCCCATGCCAGAAAGATATAATATTCTTTAATTCAATATCAATTTTATTAATATTAAAATTCATGTCATACCTACCTTTGCTTCTTTCTCTTTTTCAGTTGGTAAGCGGACAGTATAACTAATATATACAAACGAGAAATCAGATTACAAATTTAATTGTTCTTAACTGTGTGCTTTATATCAACTAGACATTGATTATAAGGTGGCTGAATCAAAGAGTGAGAGAGATTTTTTTAAGATACTCTTACTCTACCTAATAATTTGTATTGACTCA